GAGAGAGAAAGAGAGAGAGATAAAAAGGATTAAAGTAAGAGTGCAGACGACGAAGAAATGCGAGAAATTTCAATTTAAAAAGTCTCATCGTGGAAGAACCGAAAGTATTAAAGGTTAGTTAATGGTATTAATTCTCCTTACCATTCCTTTTAACTTCTCTCCTTCTTCTCTGTCTCTTACAGTTGCTTTTCTCTTTCTTCTCTTTTTTGTCTTCCATTCTTCCCTCCCTTTCTCTTTCCCTTCCCATCCCTCCCTCTTTCTCTTTTTTTTCCCTTTTCTTATTTTCCTCTTCTCTCTTTACCCCTCTCTCCCCCCTTTTTTTCTCTCTCCTCCCCTTCCTCTCTCTTTGTCTTCCCCTTCTCCCTCCCTCTCTTTGTTCTTAACCTTTCCCCCTTCCCTCCCTTTTTCCTTTTGTCTTCCCCTCTTCCTTTCCCCTTCCTCTTTCATCCCTTTTTTTAGTTTCTACTCTTCCTCCCTACCCCTTTCTCTTTATTTTTTCTTCTTTCTTCTCTTCCTCCTTCGTTCGCTTCCCTTCCTTTTTATCTTTCCTTCTCTCTCCTCTTCCTCCTTCGTTCGCTTCCTTCTTGTTCACTTCCCTTTCTCTTCACCTTTCCTTCTTCCTCCTCTTCTTCCTTCGTTCGCTTCCTTCTCGTTCGTTTCCCTTTCTCTTCACCTTTCCTTCTTTCTCCTCTTCCTCCTTCGTTCGCTTCCTTCTCGTTCGTTTCCCTTTCTCTTTACCTTTCCTTCTTTCTCCTCTTCCTCCTTCGTTCGCTTCCTTCTCGTTCACTTCCCTTCCTCTTTATCTTTCCTTCTCTCTCCTCTTCCTCCTTCGTTCGCTTCCTTCTTGTTCGCTTCCCTTTCTCTTCACCTTTCCTTCTTTCTCCTCTTCCTCCTTCGTTCGCTTCCTTCTCGTTCGTTTCCCTTTCACCTTTCCTTCTCTCTCCTCTTCCTCCTTCGTTCGCTTCCCTTTCTCTTTACCTTTCCTTCTTTCTCCTCTTCCTCCTTCGTTCGCTTCCTTCTCGTTCGCTTCCTTCTCGTTCGTTTCCCTTTCTCTTCACCTTTCCTTCTTCCTCCTCTTCCTCCTTCGTTCGCTTCCTTCTCGTTCGTTTCCCTTTCACCTTTCCTTCTTTCTCCTCTTCCTCCTTCGTTCGCTTCCCTTTCTCTTTACCTTTCCTTCTTTCTCCTCTTCTTCCTTCGTTCGCTTTCTTCTCGTTCGCTTCCTTCTCGTTCGTTTCCCTTTCTCTTCACCTTTCCTTCTTCTCCTCTTCCTCCTTCGTTCGCTTCCTTCTCGTTCGTTTCCCTTTCACCTTTCCTTCTCTCTCCTCTTCCTTCTCGTTCGTTTCCTTTTCTCTTCACCATTCCTTCTTTCTCCTCTTCCTCCTTCGTTCGCTTCCTTCTCGTTCGCTTCCTTCTCGTTCGTTTCCCTTTCTCTTCACCTTTCCTTCTTTCTCCTCTTCCTCCTTCGTTCGTGCCTCACCTGATCTCGAAGGAAGATCATCCTTAAGCTATTGTTCGTGCATCCTTTGCCTCCTTCGTCTGGTCTCCCTTTGATGGATGTTCGTCTTTCATTCGTTTATGTATTAAAGAGAGAAAAATCTATTCGTGTATTTTATTTATTTATTTATTTATTTTAATTATATTCACAAAAAAAAAATGTGTATCGTTGGTGTTTTTTGTTTGTTTGTTTGATTCTATATGGTTCTTTCTTCATTCCCTTATCCCTCCTTTCTTGCCCTATTCCTCTATCTCCCACCTCTTCTCTCTTTCCTTTTCTATTCTACATCTCTAATCCTCTCGCTTCCCTTTCTCCTCCTTTCCAATATTATCTCTTTCTCTCTTTCCTTTCCTTTTTTTGCTCTTTATCTTTCCCAAGTGGAAGGATATTGGTTGGAAAGATTGTTTTTTTCTTTTAATTTAATTTAAGATTTTATAAAGATTATCTTCCTGGATTCTCTCTCTATATCTATCTCTATCTATCTTTTATTTATCTATCTATCTATTATCTATCGATCAATCTGCATCTCTTTCCCTCTCTCTCTCTCTCTCTCTCTCTCTCTCTCTCTCTCTCTCTCTCTCTCTCTCTCTCTCTCTCTAATCTGCATCTCTCTCTCTCTCTCTCTCTCTCTCTCTCTCTCTCTCTTCTCTCTCTCTCTCTATATATATATATTTTATCTCTCTATCTCTCTATCTATTTTTTCTCCCTCTCTCTCTCTCTCTTCTCTCTCTATATATATATTTTTCTTATCTCTCTATCTATTTCTCTCCCTCTCTCTCACTCTATTTTTTTATCTCTCTCTCTCTCTCTCTCTCTCTCTCTCTCTCTCTCTCTCTCTCTCTCTCTCTCTCTCTCCCTCTCTCTCTCTCTCTCTCTCTCTCTCTCTCTCTCTCTCTCTCTCTCTCTCCCTCCCTCCCTCCCTCCCTCCCTCTCTCTCTCTCTCTCTCTCTCTCTCTCTCTCTGTCGCATTCCACTGCAAGATGTGTCTCTCCCACATTATTTTGTCTTCCGCTCCCTGTTACCAGCTGTCCCCCAACCTTGTCATTGATCTTCCTTGACCTCCTTATGTTATCTGTCTATCTATCTGTCTGTCTGTCTCTCTCAAAGACATACATACACATATTCATATATATGTTGTAGCTTAGGGTGTAAGGTAGAC